GGAGCGCCACCGCGCTCCCAAGCGGCGCACTGTAGCAGTGCGCCACCGGGCCGGCCCCAGGTGTAAGATTCTTTTGGAACTTAAAATTGCTTCCTGCTGTTTTACACAATTAATAATAGTAGTTGTCAGTAATGTTCCAGAGAAATATATTGCTCTTCTTAGAGATTCGTTGATTCCTCACATTCCCCCATACTTCAATATCATCTTGACTATGAACTAGTCTTTTGACAATAGTTTTATGTTCATTGCTTACATTATGGAATTGTGTGAGGATGTGGATTGAGCAACCTTGTTAAGATGCTGATGTCCATAGGAACAGCAGTAGGAGAAACTTCAAAAGCAAGAATACTAGGAAAAATAGTTTGTATTTTATCCCTCATGTCTCTCTGTATTACAGATTAATTTTTAAGTCTGTCAGGTGCTTCTTACATTTAAAATGTTTTGATTTTCTGGAATATTTGGAAATACAATGTATTAATCTTTGGAAAGGATTTTCCTGCCACTTGTGTTTATTTCCCTTCTGAGTAACTCTAAGGTTATGGAAATGCTGAGTACTAGAATTTGGCCTTATCATTATTGCTGAAGGCAAAGAAAGAAAAAGTTACATATCCGGGATATTATTAATGCTAAGCTATAGCATGTGCCACATTTATAGTCGACATTTTCTTAGTTATTCATATAAACATTATTTTAATTCCAGAGGTTTCATGGGTCCTCCTGGGGGATTTTGTGAAAATGCAGATTCAGTTACAGTGCATCTGGGTGGTCCTAAGATTCTACAGTGCTAACAGTTTTCATTTTGACATAATTTTAGACTTACCAGAAAAGTTACAAGAGTAGAATTCTCTGATATCCTTCATCGCTATTTCCTGAGTGTTAACATTTTACTAAATTAACTTTTCTTTTTTCTGTCTCTCCCTTCCCTCCTCTCCCCTCCCCTCTCTCCTTCCCTCCTCTCCCCTCCCCTCTCTCCTTCCCTCCGATTCCCCTCCCCTCCCTTCCTTTCTCCCTTCCTCCTCCCCTTCCTTCCTTCAGTGTATAATTTTTTTCTAAACCATTTAAGCATATGTAATGCCCCTTTATCCCTAAATAGTTTAATATGTATTTCTAAAAGTGAGAACATTCTCTCATATAACCACAGTACAGTTATTAAAATCAAGAAATTAACATTGATATAATATTATTGCCTAATCTCAGACTTATTTAGATTTTCCAGTTGTCTTAAAATTATCCTTTTTGCAGAAGTTATAAGAATTAGTACATGTCATGTCTCTGTAGTCTCTTTTAATCTAGAATATTTCATGAGTTTGTCTTTATATTTCATGATATGACAGTGTTGAAGACATGATATGGGCCATGTGTTTGTTATAAAATCTCTTAAGAGGGTTTTGTCTGATGCTAACTGAAGATTAAGTTCGGGTAATGTATGTTTGGCAAGAACAACATAGATGTGATGCTGATATGATTCTTAGTGTGTCCTGTCGGAAGGCACATGCTGTCCATCAGTCCCATTACTGGCAGTGTTACCTTTGATCATATGGTTAAGGTGATACCTGCCATGTTTCTCCACTGGGAAGTTATGTTACTATTTTACTCTTTGTAATTAATGAGTGTATAGTATTGTTGGGAGATACTTTAGGACTATATAAATATCTTATTCTTCAGATCCACAGACTACACTTTAAGGAGCTAGATCAGAAGTCATGGTGTCCAATATGGCAACCACTAGCCATAGAGGCTACTGAGCACTTGAAATGTGGTTAGTCTGAATTGAGATGTGCTATAAATGTAAAATACATGATGGGCTTTGAAGACTTAATATGAAAACAGGAATAAAATAGCTCATTAATAATTTTTTACATGATTACGTGTTGAAATGATAATATTTTGGATATGTTGGGTTAAACAAAACATATCATTAAATTTCTACCTGTTCCTTTTTACTTTTTTAAAAAAATGTGACCACTAGAAAACTAAAAATTACATATGTGGTTTGTCTTATATTGGACATTGCTGATATAGATTCTAGAGTATAGTTGGACTCAGCTCCCTTACAGCCAAGTCCTACAGACAGTTTTCAAAACAGTTGGATTTTACTGGTTGAGAACATGCTGATATTGATTAAGTGGTTCGTTCTACCAGTATTCATCATGTGCTTAACTATATCCCAGGCACTTGAGAAAAAATTGTTCATGACCAGAAAGTTGCTGTTTATTTATGGACAAGCCAAGAATGGTATTACTTGCCAATAATTCAAGTTGTTTATATAATATAATTTGAAAAGCATTGGACTGATTTAAAGTTGAAGGAAAACTTAACAGTATAAAGCCTTTTGCAAAATAAAAATCAGAGAATTGGTATTTGTAAAAGAGAAAGTTGACAGTGATATCACCAGAGTACATACCTTCTTCAGCTTTTTCAGTAGAGATTTTTTTTGCAATGAATTTTATTCATTTAAATTCATTTCTAAATCAGAATAAAAAAGAAGTGTTTGTTAAAGCACTTGTTTATAATTATACTGTTTGTGTATAAATTTGCTAATTTTATGAATTTTTTTCGTAGTTGTTGCAATGAAGCGAGTTGAAGAGATCAAACAGAGACGCCAAGCTAAATTTATAATGAACAGGTATGAATATTTATATAGAGTAACTCCTGAAAAAATAATTACTAGTAGATATCTAAGGGCATTAGTGGGTTTTTTTTTGTTTTTATTTGACATAGCTTCAGACTTTAAAGACTTTTTTTTTTGTCCTTTTTTGTGACCGGTAGGGGGATCGCAACCCTTGGCTTGGTGTTGCCCTCACCGCGTTCAGCCAGTGAGCACACCGATCCGAACCCGTGGCGGGAGTGCCGCTGCGCTCCCAGCGCCGCACTCTCCCAAGTGCGCCATGGGGTCGGCCCAGACTTTAAAGACTTTTAAGAGTAGTTAGCATTTGACCACATTTACTTAATCTTTGTTGCTGTGTATAGTAAGTTGAGGATATAATGCTATTTCCTCCTATGTATATCTTAGCGTATATTGTCTGAAAATAAGAACATTCTCTTATATAAACAGTTTAGTAATCAAAATCAGTAAATTAACATTGATGCAATACTGTTATATCAGTGACAGACCTCGTTTGGATTTTACTAGTTGTTCCAATAATATTGTTTTTTTTTCCTTTTTGTCTTTTTTCGTGTCCGGCAACGGATCGCAACCCTCAGTGTTGTGCCCGTACTGGACCGGGACCGGCAATGGGATTGCAACCCTCGGTGTTGCTCCCACACCTCGCTCAGCCAGTGAG